GTCCTGAAACACACAAGCAGCCCTTTAATGAAACAGGCACCCAATTAAAGCATGCACAAGCAAAGGTTTCAACGTGACAGACAATAAATATAGATAACATTTAAGAAATACAATTACATGCATAGACCTACCCCGTGACATTTCTGTGACATGATGATATAGAGCTGTCTGATCATAGCACGCAGCCTCTGCACGCTCCTGGTGTACGCACATCTCCGTTCTCTCAGACCGTCCAGCAGAGACAGATACGAGCTCATAGTGGACATCACACAAGCGTTCTGTCATAGAAAACACGAATGACAATACCAGACAGTTAACATCTGTTCAGCAGACAAATAATGAGGTGACCGGAATGTACTCAGCAGTCAGAAAACCAATGCCACAATGCAAATAATTGGTCCTAAAAGTATGCATTACCTTTTTTGCCTGAAATTTGAATGTCAGCATTATTTCACACTGCATGCATGCTTTGTCTCTTAAATGCTGAATGCATGACTGGCAGGTAGCTACTCACGTGCACGTCGATGTAGAGGTCGGGCAGGTGCGCTGTGCATCTGTGCTGCAACATAAAACACATGACAGTAAAGCATCAGTGTGATTTGTTGTTGTGCTCACCTCAGCTCAGTGTGGTGGACTTACAGTGTCGTGGTGGGTTTTGATTTGGGCCGCACTCTGGGTGATCTCGTGCCCCATGGCCAGCACTTTGGAGTAACAGGTGGGTGGGATGGGGTACGGCTGAGCCCAGAGCTCGGTCACCGTGGCCTCCAGCAGCAGAAGCAGAAGCAGAAGCAGTGTGCGAGCCAGCATGCTGTCTGCTGTCTGTGCAGAGCACTGCTGCATTTATACACCACCGCTCCCTCAAACATCTTGTGCTCATTACAGAAAACGACATCATTTATCAATCAATTAGGCTGGAATGCACATCACATTCTTCTCAGCCGAGCGTTTTCTGAACATGCACAACATGCAAACAAACTGTAAACAATGAAATAAACATGAATCGCTTCAATATTGTTCTTTGTATGGTTTCATGCAAAAAAAAA